CGAAACTGGTGCATTTTGACAATAAATCAGAATTGCTCTAGAAGTTTGTCGAGGTAAATTTAGCACAAATGGATATATATATGGCGAGATCTCTCGAGATATCAGCCGGACTGGCCTACTTAGGGTGTGCTGCATCACAATGCATATACATGAGGCACAACTTGCTACTTAGTCTTACAACCGTCTAATGCTCGATGATAAGCTCTGACACTTTCAGTTGCAGCAAGTTTTTAACAAATTTTGCCTCTGCCCCAGTTAAAAAATACTTTTAAACTATGCAGAGTGGCAGGGTTGTCAGACGACAAGCTTTTAGTAGGGTTTGAAAATTCGCCTTTTCTATTAAATTACGGGTCAGATTCGCTTGGAATGTGTATGCTTAAAGGCAGGGGAAGGGCCTGTGTTGGTCTACATAGCAAATAACAGATAATGCATAGTGCCACGGGAAGTAACATTGTCGATTCAAAATTAGGCTAAGTGCGCTTAAACTTCCCTTCAGTAACTTCACATTTGGATGGGTTATCGAGATATATCAAGCCATGCTTTTACCATAAAATTCTTTATTGTATTCACTCTGCCTCCACTAATTTGGTATAGAGTGGAGTTAAAAATAGTTCGTGATTCCGTATCCTTAAATCTCTTCTTTATTTAACTTTGCATGTCAATCTTAATTTGATCTGTACGTATTTGCTGCGTATTTTTCTACATGGTTTTATCTTCATCTTTTTATCCAAGCTTCTCACTACTTTTTTTTACAATTTTATTTCCATTTTCAGATAAATGTGATATTTCTGACGTCGAGGAAACGTTTGTGCCCATCGCGAGCCGGCCTCAGGGGGCTTGTGCAGCTACGCCTACCTCTCCATATTCTTCGCCTTCTTCGTTATCACTTCACAATACTAACTCTCCAACTAGTTTGCAGCTAACGAGCCCCCCTGTAACCATTGTCCGGCCGAGCCATACTCTTCGACGCACCGACAGTGACGTTGATGCCTTTGAATCGACCAGACCTCCGACTATCATCTCTGTTAATCGAGCTAATAGAAATCGAGCTCCTCCAGTGCCTCCAGTTTGGGCTGCGGGGCTGAAAAGTTCTGATTCTGAGACATCTGAATTGGAGTTGATTCGACCCTCCTGCAATATGGTATGCTTGTAAGATACTTTAAAGGTTCTCGCTCTTATTTTGATAGGCAGATCATCAAATCCTCACACTTGCTTATTAGGTGCTACTTATGCTTGCATTCTAGATGCGCGTATTTAACAATATCTGATACCTAGTGAATGAATAACTTTTTCTTAACTTAGGAAATATGGAGTGATTTGAACGCATTTTCTTAATTTGGTCTAGTTGGAAGCCTGTAGTGAGCCTAGTCGATTAAAGTAAAAAGCTACAATATTTGGGGGGTTGATACATCGGACATTGCTCAGAAAAGTAATCGATTTGGCAGTATGGATTAGAGTGCGAAGTCAATTCAGCTAGAACTTTAATTGTGAGGTGTTTTAGAGACCAGACAGAGTTTGCCTACAGTACACGATTTAGTGGTTCGTAAAGTAAAGACTTAACCAAGAGATTTACCCAGTGCGGCGGCCAAACGGACACAAGGGCTTTAGATGCTTGTTTGGTGAGCATACGTGCCGTCAACTGCTTGAGGCAGACCATCGGAAATAACGCCTCGAGTAGCACAGATATAGTAGCAATGATCCTGTTAAATAACTGAACTAGGCAGATAAAAGGCTTAACTTTTATGTCAGTCTGCAATTATATTGTAAACTAAAAAGACAAAGATCGTAGATATTAAGAACAAGATGGTGTGGCCTTCTGTTTGGTCGCAGTCTCCTTTAGATTTCTATTGTTGGCTCGACTTTATTTTCGCAACTTGCTTGGAGCGTCAGGGAGACCTTGTGGAACGTATTTAGTCCCGTGTCCTCTGCCATAGTATTCGGGGCGCCTTTCACTGACGATGCCGGCGAAACGTTTAGGAATGTATTCAGCCAATGGTCCAATGCTGGAAATCACTCAATATATGGCAGAGGACACGGGATTAGGTATGTTCCCCAAGATCTCCCTGACGATCCGACCAAGTTGCGAAAACAAGGTCGAACCAACACTAAAAAGGCCAAGTTGGATTACCATTTATAACACAATGGAGGGTGGATGAGTAAACCAATCAAAGTGTGAATAGGCCTTATAAAATCCGCTCCGAAGAACACCTCTCTGGAATAGTTTAAAATGGGCAAGTTAGAAGTTGTTTCAATTATGTGGAGATACAAGGGTATTGAATTAGTGAATGTACAAGACCAATTGTTCTGCTAAACGTTGGCTAATGGATAAACTTTACTTGTCTCTAACGCATTGTGGTTTTGTGCTAAGAATCACAAGGCCCACTAACAGTCCGTTTACGATATCTGGGAATGTAACACCTCCCTGTTCTGATGCTGGAAACTATCATGATTAATATAGCAGAAAACTGCGGCCAAGATGCTTTTAGGTGTCTCTAACAGCACCACCAAGCTGCAAAAACATAATCAAACCACTTCTATACGATGGAAAAAGGTCGCGACTATAATAAAATTTATACACTCTCGATCTTATACCTTCGAGTATAGTATAATCTGCCACAAAGCTTATGCTATATTTCATTCACTTAAAGTTTTTAAATATTACGATATAACGATAAAACTTATTCTTTAAATCACTCGTTTATGCTAACTTATTAACTGGCTTAAAATATTCGTATAACTATGACTTCCTAAGTATGGCATTGCTTTCTCTTTGAGTATCCTATTATATTTTAATCTTAATTTGTACAGACAAACGGATGAAATGGCAGCAATTCCATACTAGCGTCTTATATCTCGCATGCAAGTCAAACTATCTATTAACCTGACTAACAACGCATAACTCTCATAATTTGACTGCTTAATTTGCTTTCTTTCTCAATACTATGGGTCATGCGACTTAGCCCCCAACTTCTATTCTTTGAAGCCTCATCTCATTTTTAAATAAAAACAATATGGCTTTTCTAATTTTCTCACTAGTTCGTCATCATAATGTCTTTCTGAATCAAGCGATCTTCAATTTAAACATGCAGACCTGCATGCATCCATAAATGCGTAAATACATGCATGCATGCATATATATAACCTCGTTCAAACATAACTTATTCTTTTAATCCACAAATATTTTATCAAGGTTTTTACGTAATTGGATCTTTAGTTCAATATGTAACCGTAATGGATTTCTCTATACTTATTAATATTGCCAATAAATTTTGCGCCACTTATGTATCTTAATTGCATTTGCTTTCGGAGTGGATTTTTATCTAGTTATTACATGATCAAGACCTAAACATGTTTTCAATAGCCATTTAATATTAATTTGTGTATATTTGTCGCTTTACTTCACTAAGCTTAAGTGTACTTGTCCTGATTCCATCCATTAAGCAAAATTGTGTTCACTTTACTCGCTTTATATTTTTTAACGTAAATTGCTACTGAATATGAGTTTTAAACCAAATCACTTGATATGTATTGTATGTTTGCCCCGAATCTAGTTTACAGGTCTTTGGAATAGGGAATTCTGTTGAATAGAACTTTTCGTATATAAATAGAGTTTCGAGAATACCAGTAAATCAGTTATAGGAGATGTACTAACCCTATTTCGTTTAAGGTGATGAAAGACTGGTAGTATAATTTTCCCGCAATGCTATGAGTAGATCTGGCGTTTCCACTGAATTTTACATGCCGCGTGGTTAATGTATCAAGCTCGTATGCCTTACTGCCACGGTTCGACTCCCGCTGGGCGTGTTGATAAGACTTATGCAAGGCTGAACAAAGCACACCCATATGCTAAGCCAAAATAAGAACAGGCTCCCTGCAAACCTACTAACTTTTTACTCCTAGCTGTGCAACCTTAACGAGGCTTCCCACAATTTTATTGATTACTTCATGTCTACTCTACGTCTTGTCAGATAGGTGAAGTTAATCCATGGAAGAGAAGTGGATGCAGGGACAATTGTTTCCTCTGATATTGAAACATGTTTGGGCATATGGTATCGTTTATTGTCTGTATGCTATGTTCAGACCATGTGAGATGTAATAGCCTTAACCTGATTAGGCTATTCATGCCTCCTCTTGCACAGAGGTTCTCTTTCGTTAACTATCCAACACTCGATTTTCTTTGCTCGTTCTCATCATTCAGGATGTGTTAATCTTGAATTTCATATATTTTTTCTATCATTTAACTGCTACTTTTTTGGTTTAGTTTCTTATTTGTGTCTATTAAGTAAGGGCGACTTTCTATCTTTTCCTTTATCTCCTGACTTTCTCCATACTCTGACATATCGTCATATCTCTGAATCTCTCGAAACTGGCACTCCGCTCCACCAGAATGACGGAACGCAGGCACACTCAAGCTCGCTCATTCGCCAATCAGACAGGTTAGCCTCTAATTTTATTTTCGAGCTATATTACCCTAGCAAAGTTTTACTTTTGCAACCATGATCCAGTTTTGATTGATAAGGCTTGAAAGTTTGTGCTGTTACGATTACTGGTTCTTGTTTATAATAATGGTAATTTTGCTTATAGCTTTACCGAGGGTAGTTACCATCATATATGACTTATCATTGCAGCAGTGCAGACAAGTAGTCACTCCTAGATGTTTAATATTTCCTCTCTCTAGTCTCTTTGTCTGGATCTAGGTATTTGGCTTCCCCTATTTTGACAACTTTGCCTGCTCCTTGCCTGTCATCAATAGATGGCAATCCTAAATAATCCAAACTCTCACTTCTTTACTTTCTATCCATATCTCTATTAGCCTCTTTATTTTTTATCATCATAAAGGGCCAGGTATCTTTAATCGGCTGTTTTTTATCAATCAAAAATTCAAACTCTACCATGGTTTTGCATCAAAGCTAATCATTTGGTGATGCACCTTGTCAAAACTTGTCTTTAAAACTGTCAGAGGATGATGAAAAAGTGATTGTAGTCAGATTAACCCTCAATATGCTTAAAAATCATCCTTCGTTTTATTATAATATTATACCATACGCCTATTTTTCTTATATTATCTAGATTA